CTCTTTCCCCATAACTATGAAATTATTTGTTGCCATATACTGTTGCTCATCATCACAGCACAACTTTTTAAAGATCACCACTGTCCTACAAGCTGCCCTTTCCACAGTTTCTGTTTATTTAGCTGAAATAACAGCCACCTTCTCTCTACAAAATGACCAATCCAGGACAGCAACCGAAAAGTCCTGATTCTCAAATGACCCCTCTAGTCCCCATCTCTAAAGCAGGAAAAAACCCACACCCAGACACAACTAAACACACAAACAAAACCACGAACCCACTTGTTCTCCAGGACTAACAAGTGGCTGGGGGACGTTACCAGTATTAAGGTAATGCAACAAATAAAAGATTAAGTGTTCATCCTACGTTCTGCTCTTTTCAGTCAGTACTCGTACACAGTGCAATTCCTACAGGTACTAACAGTACAATTTCTCAGGCTGTTGGCAAACTGTACACCAGAAGTGTTTTACTTATAGACATCTGCAACAAATCCTACTGGTGACAAGTTCTATCAAGTGCTAGTTTACCTTCATTCTGCTGAGACAGTCTTGTCTGCAAATCTGAAGAAAAACATACAAAAGGTGATTAGTATGCCAGCCACGTTGTTTAGCTCCTTTTTTTTTTTTTTTTTTTTTTTTTTGTGGTTAAGAGCTTGTTCAAGTACCTCAACCCACTCTCACTGTTCCTCTCTGGTTGGGAGTAGTTTCACCAATTTCAACTTCTCAGCTGGAATATTCTGTCCTGGACAGAGATTCCATGACCACAAAGGTAAGCATGCTTCCAAGAGAAGCAATACCTTAGAAGGAATACATGACCATGTCCTTTAATTCAATATATCATTTCCACCTTGCCTTTGTTGTGCTTGAACATGTTTTTTAAGGCATTATGTTCCATGAGAAAATAATTACAGCAACTCTTACAGGCATTAGCAGTTTGGCATCTTTACTAATAGAAAGCATTTAAGCATACAATTACTCAAGTGTGGCATTCTGAAAGCAGTTATCAGATTTAATTTCAAGCAGAATAAGGTGTTATTTTTTCAGATAAATGTCATAACAAAGCAAGTTACTTTGGTATTTTTCAAATTCAAAATCTTTCCAAATGTTCTGAATGTTCAATTCACCAAGAAAACATTACCCACTCATTTAATAACATATAGCTGTCCCAATCTGAAGGAATGGGAACAGACAAATGCAGACTTTAGCCATTTCCAAGTATATGACTACGATACTCAACAACTTTAAACCAGCAAGAAATTTCAGAATGCAAGAAATGCAACCGTAAGTGTCTTTACTTATGTTCCAATTTAATTCACACAAACACAAGGAGTCAGAGGAATGAAGTTAACTGTCATTCACTTGTTCAGAAAGCAACAATGGACCCCAGGTAAGCTTCCAAGCTTACTCGGAAATACCTGAAAGCATCAAGTTTCAATGTACTTTTTCCTTTCTAAGGAAACCTCCTACACAACAGCAGAGGGCCAACAGGAATGGCAGGTTTTTTCTCTAAGTACCAGGCAGTAAGAGCTCCAAGTCTTCCCCAAGCGCCTTCCCAAGTAACTTTCATAGAACACATACTGGGAACAAGATTGAAAAGTAAAAGATGGAGGGAGGAAGCTCTGAAGGCTGAGCTGTAACATGAACTGGTTACATTTGGCATGTTTTCCATCTGGATCTGAACACAGAAATCCTCACCTCCACAGGAATACTGTGGGAATACTGGGGAAGACTGTCTTAGTCTGAATTCTCCACAGAAAATGCATGGATTGGACAAGATCTTTATACTAATTAGTTATATACGATCCAGATTTTCTGTAAACAGATATGTTTTTTAAAAAGTAATAAATCCCCAAATCTCCTAAGTCACTCTAGTTAGACGAGGGCAGGGACCTCTCCCTCTGCAGTTCTGGCACAACTGCATACTGCATCCCATACAGCTGAACTTGCCAAACTCAGCCTGGGCTCTACAGCCAAAGGCTCCAGGCCACCCATACCCAATGTGGCAAATCTACACACATCACCAGCTCAAGTTCTGCCTAGAGCCAAGTGTCAAATCTTTTCTAAGCATGGGAAGATCAGCTAACAGTATCTTGTGACACCAAGTTTCACAGGTTATCGACCACCTCTGAAACATAACTCCCTGTCCACCACATCTTTCATCAACTAACTGAGTTTTCTTGTGGCTCATGAGTGAAAAAGTCCCCTCCTCTCACTTGTACATTAATTCAAAGCCCTTAGAAATTCTTTGTCACTCTTCACTGTCCACTCTTACTCTTCCCTAAACGCAGTTTTTAAATACATGGAAACTAAAATTAATACATTTGTCAAGATCAAAGGATCTTTTTTCAGTACATTCTGTATATATAATCTGTAGTTTAGAATAACTAAGGACATGCTTAGTACAGGGAAAGCAGAAATATAGAAATATCTATCAAAGTGTTTTAGGTCTTAAAACAAAATGAATTTGTGCCTTTATTTTGAAATGTAGCTAGCATTAAATAAACAAAAACCTGCCAAGTGTTCTCCATTTTTCTAAGTAACTACTAATTTCAATCTTTTTCCCAAACTGACCATTCCTTCCCCAAAGTAAGGAATGTTTTGTCCCATTAGAAGACTGTTCTAAGCCTCATGGCTATTTTAAGGTGTGGATTTTTGGACAATTTACTATAATGCAGGAAGTACACAGCTACAAATGTTTAGCTT